ATTTCCAAGTATAATAAGTAGAATGGAAATTTATTTAACACGGTTGTTTTCATTGGCAAAACATAAATGTAAAGGAAGTAAATTTATTAACGGAAATTTTTTCTTTAAGGAGCTAAAGAGAAAATGGATTTTGTTAGCTCTTTGCTCCAGCTCCGCGCCGGCTAAAATCCATTGCTCTTTGCTCCTTTGCGCCGCTCCGCTCCGAAGCCCAGTTTTTTTTTACATTCCAGTAATTTTTGGAACAGTTTTTCTATAAAATCAAGGAATCCCTAGTACTATGTGTACCTGTTGTACACGTTGAGATAAAATTATAGATAACTGACACAGCTTCCACGGACATAACTTCCATGAGCACGTGAAAGTTATTTCAGACTTTATTTTCACGAAAATCAGACGTAACTTCCACGTAAAACATGTCATGACTAGGGATGACAGCGATTAATCATTTGGTTAAATTAATCGATTTTATTTATCCCATTTACAATTAAGTTGTATCGTATTTTTGTGTTTCATGAATCGAGTATTAATCGATTAATTATAAAATAATCGTAAAAATATTTTCTTTTTGCTAGCTGCATCAACTTTACTCGACCCGAGGTTAAAAAAAATTCATTTCAAATTCGTTCTTGCGAAATGAAATAACGTTCGCAGATGATCTTATGAAAATGGGTAGGGAGTTTAACTAGAATCAGTAGAAATGAGTGAGCAAACGAGAAAATGAGCCCTTAGGCACATTTAGAAATGTCGAAACTCCATCCCTGCGTAGTAATACAATTCAAGAAGAAACAAGAAAAAAGCATAAGCTCGGGTGGAACCGAACATTAGACACCCGGCGCAATTATTAAATATAGTTTTCTTCACCTTTACGTTGTTTGTTGTTTGTATCAATTTTGAGTAAATGAACGTCCTTAAATTTCGAAATATCGAAGTTTCAAGCATTTCTGAAATTTAGTCCGATTTCAATAATTTTCATTGTTTTACTTTTAAGTGGCAAGTACAATAATCAATCCAAAATTTTATCATAAACGTATTTTTTGCTAAAGAATTATTGCAAACATCAATTTTGAATAAATTAGCTATAGTATTTACTGATTTATCGAAGATTTCGTATTTCTCTAAATAACCGTTACATGGGATGTGGGCGTGGTTATTGTCCGATTTTAAAAAATTACAGCTGTTTGGTATGTGGTACCATGCCAAGTTTGGAAGAAAATGGTCGAGCGGTTATCGAGATATACACATGTAATCATAAATGGGCGAGGCTGCGCCCATTTTACAAAATTGTTTACTATTCCTATTTTGCGTCTAAAAATCATTGGAAATATCAATTTTCAGTGCAAAAGCTTCAGTAATTACTAAAATATCACCATTTTCATATTTCTGAAAATTACCGTTATATGGGAAGTGGGCGTGGTGACGGTCCGATTTTGCCCGTTTTCAATACCAACCTACCTTGGGTAAAGGGCATTCTATATACCGCATTTCGTTGCGATATCTCAATTTTTGCTCGAGTTATCCAGCACATGGACGGACAGACGGACAGACAGACATAGCCTAATAGACTTCTTTTTTCATTCTGATCATTTATGTATACATTTGTCTATATCTATCTCGATTCGTTTTGGCTGTTACAAACAACCGTTATGTTAACAAAGTTGTAATACCGTTGTGCACAAGTGCGCTCGGGTATAAAAGCAGTACTTTGAAATGTAGCTCAGGAGGAAAGTTTAATATAATAAAAAATGATTTAGATAATGAAACATACATACGTAAACGGACATTTTTACTTGGAATCCACTGTTACTATCATCTTTCACTTATCCAGTCCTAAGAAATCACACACATAACAATAGGGTTAATAATAATAATAATAATAATAATAATAATAAAATAATAATAATAAAAATAGGGTCAAAACGTAAGAAAATAGCAGCTCATATAACTCGAGCAAAAATTGAGATATCTCAACGAAATTTGGTATGTGGGTTTCCATTATCCAAGGTAGGTTGGTATTGAAAATGGGCGAAATCGGACTGTAACCACGCCCACTTCCCATATAACGGTAATTTCCAGAAATACGAAAACTGCGATATTTTAGTAACTACTGTAGACAATTCACTCAAAATTGATATTTAAAATAATTTTCAGACGAAAAATAAGAATATTATAAATTTTTGGAAAATGGGCGTAGCCACGCCCACTTATGGTTACATGTGTATATCTTGATAACCGCTGCACCAATTTCTTCCAAACATGGCACAGTTATTGGCCTTGGTACAACATACGAAATGGCCGAAATTTTTTTAAATCGGACAATAACCACGCCCACATCTCATATAAAGGTAATTAAGAGAAATACGAAATCTTCGATAAATCGTAAATATTAAAGCTAATTTATTCAAAATTGATGCTTGCAACAATTTTTTACCAAGAAATACGTTTATGATAAAATTTTGGAAAACGGGCGTGCCACCGCCCACTTATGATCACATATATGTATCTCCGTAATCGGTCTACCAATTTATACCAAACTCGGTATTTTTATTGTGCTTGCCACATAAACGCAAAAGGTTGAAAATTATTTAAATCGGACTAAAATTACGGTCGCTTTTCGTATAACGGTAAATTTCAGAAATGCTTGAAACTTCAATATTTCGAAATTAAGGACGCTAATTTACTCAAAATTGATACGCCCCGGCTTACCATTTAGCCGTAGCTTTCGAAAAGGTGAAAAAACATGTATTTAGAACTTGCGCCGGGGATTTAATGTTCAGTTCCGCCCGCAGTTAGACTTTATTACTTGTTGTTATTTCGTTTTATTGACATCCAAAGTTACGCCATTTCGTCTTGGATGGCATTCTACTGTACTAGTGTAGACACAAAAATATTAAATGAGTTGTTCTTGTAACACCACCTTGTATAAATGCGCATTTGAAAATACGTAAATTTTGAAAATGTTTTTACTACATTTATTTAAGACGGTTTAAAAAGATAGGAAAATAATCTTCTGATGTCTAAGTATGAGAAATTTTTACGGGAATCTGTAAAAATGGAAATAAAAGTTCTTTCTTACGAGCAATGCAAAACCAGTCGAAGCCCATAATTCCAATAACTCAATATTAATTTTCATCTTGCATGCATGAGCACGTAAGACTTTAGCGGATTTTCCAGATACTCAGAGAGCAAGGATTAATAAAATTAACAAGCGTACACATAAAATGCGCATTGAATCACTTAATGCAAATACATACATTTATGTCCATGTGTATGTGTGTAAGTACGTACCCAGTGGGAAAATGTAATGTATGGTAATCGGAAAAAATAATCTGTGAAACAGTCGTTTTCACATTCGAATATTAATTTTTTCCCCATGTCCTAGGAAAAGTATGACATTTAATTTTGCATTACCTAGTATCGAATGAATTTCCTGGATACATAAGAATGCTGATTACATTCTAATCAGCATGGCTGAAAAAATAAGCAAAAAAAAAAAAAGTTTTAACAAAGTTCAAAAGCACTAAAACAGTGGTAAATATGTATTTGTCAATGTTATTGTGGCTTGTTAACATTTTATTTTTAATATTTTTATTGAGCTTTGTACCACGATTGTTTATTAGGAAAAATTGAAAAAGGAACAAAGTCTTAGCGATAGAAGTTATAGCACTATTTCAGAGATCACCACATCTCCTCATCAGACTTCTTTTTTCTAGACTTCAGCAGGGATCGAACCTGCTCGAAAAACAATAAACAGTTTAAGGTTTTATTTTTATTCAGTTTATTTCAAGGACAGAATAATTACAATTGGCAAAGAAAAGTTTTGCTTGATATTCTCAAATAATAAAAATCTGCGTTGATCGTTTGAAAGCATTGAATAGAGGGGAAAGATACGAAACCTTAATTTCTTTTCAAAACTGAATCAATTTTTTTTTAAATATTCCTTACTTTCCATTGGAGATAAATTATTTTTAATCACTTCAACAACACTAATGCCTTACCGTAGATACAAATCTTCGACATTTTTATATTCCAGTGAAATGCAATTGAAGTTCGAGTTAATAAAAACCAAATCTGTTTGTATGTATTGTTTGAAAACATTACATTAGTTCGACGTTTAACATCGGAATAATCATCGCTGGAAATTGGGAAATAATCGAGAATTCAAGGATAATCGTTAATAGTTGCAACCATTTTGAAGTTTAAAGCTTTGTAGGCAAATCTCTAGAATTGTCAGAACTTAATTTAAAAACAAGTTTAAGAAATTTATTAAACAAACGTTTCTTTAGCAGTACTGAGTTCTTATGAAATTTCCTAAGCTTTCTACTTAAGATTTCTATATATGTATTTTTGCAAACAAAGAGCGCAAGGCTACCCACGTTTGCCACAGAAATGTTATATACCCGCTCCATTATTTCATGAGGAAAGAGTGAGAAAGCAGGCTGTATAATATCAGATGTCAAAATTCGCTGAACGCACTTAGCTTTATACATTAAAATAATCAAAATATGTATGGTCGTTAAAATTAAGCTTGGAAACCCTAAAAAAGCAAAAGAAGCAATTCCAGCAAAAGTTTAAAATTCCCGGTCCAGTTAATCAGTAATAGGATTTAAAACTCATAAGATATACACCACATTATTTATCACGCATGTAACGCATTACTACTTTTCCCACGGGGTAATAACACAACGTGCATACATACATACATAAATAGTATAAATGTATTTCAAGCCGTTAACACGTTTTGCTGCGTTTGTATCTGTAAATCCGTTGCATATAACGAAATAGCGAAGGACTTGCGAAATGTTACGCGCGGATGTTAACAGCTTGTACTCGAATTTAATTTCAGTTTACTTACGTATGCACAATACCTGTACGCAATGTACATATGTATGTAGTATGTAAGTATGTCGGTAAGTGCGGGCATTATAATGCAATGGAATTAAAGTATGATGCTTAAAAGTTCAGCTTTCCTTGTTTGACTTTTCTTGCCGTAATTTGCTTACCTTGATTCTGCTGACGGCTTACAACCAGGCGCACTCTTCCATAGGCGTGCCAACATGCACATGTACAGGAAAAATATCAGTGTCAGTGGAGTGACGTAAGATGACGCACAGAAGGACACCTGTAAAGATGTAACAAGATTGGAAACCAATCGGTTAAGAGGCTTGTTTAAGACTAAAGCATGATGTATGTATGCAAAGTACTTATGTGGATAATATATAGGACAGCAAGGGATCCTAAGACCTGAAAGATCTTTTGTTAAATAAAAATAAGTGTCAAATGATTACCAAGAATAAATATTTGTGTAGATATTTCTCATTAATATTTATGTACCTATATACATACATACATCTATTTAGAAATATATTATGTATAAAGTAGAGTCAACATTTTTTGAACATGCAATCCGTACAAGTTACTTCACAGATTTTAATAAAGTTTTTGGAGGTTACTCCTAAGACATCTGTTAACGTATTCTACTCATGATATATATTAATTCAAACTTAGCGCCAGGGGCGGCTAGTAATTGTATGAAAGGTTTAGGACAGATCAAACAGAATGACATTCATCTTTATATACATATGTGGGACAGTGACAAGACGGCAACCCAAAACTACACTATTTATTGTAACCTTGACTGATAACGAAAGAAAAACTTTATGATGAAGTATTAAAATTTTATTTTAAAGCTACTTGGAAATTAAAAACCCGATTTGAAAATTTTTAAAATGGTTAGCAATTTGTTAATTTTAGAATGTTTAACTCAAGCATATACATATCTCTATTTTTCACTATTCAGTTAAAAAGGAATAAATACCTATATTGACTCACTCAAAATTATAGTGATCTGTATATAATATTCGCAATGTTGTTAATTTAAAATTTTTTCGCAAAGATTTTTTATAAAAGTAGAGATCATCTAACAAAAACTATATATATCCAAATTCTAAACTTTGTGCAAAAATTAAAAAAGCCAATAAAGTTTCATTAGAAATGCATTTCCCTATCTATGCTATGCCCTATCTCAGTTTATTTTCGATGTATTCTCGTTTGAGATAAGGCGTTTTTGAACCGATTTCTTAGATTAAACCAAATTCTGAGATAGGGTGTTTTCCCATAATATTCTGAAATTGGGCATTTTTCAATAAAGCTCTGAAGTAGGGCGTTCTAGAAAAGTTTCTGAGTTTTCGAACTGGCTGCCGAGATAGGTCGATCTTCCACTCACCCATCGGTTTGTTACCCATATTTTTATTCTACATTGCATTGAATTTTTTTAACAATTTTTGGAATTAATCACATCTTTGAAATTACAAAGTCCTTCAGAATAAATCCTGCGGTCAAAGAGAAAAAATGAAAACGCCACTTTAAATAAAAAAATAGGTTTCACACCCATTTATTTATTATTTATTTCATGGTAGGAGAGCTTGTCAAACAATATAGAAGCAATTTTTTCGATTCAAGTTGTTGAAAAGTAATGAATATTTATAAGACGTATTCTACGTCAAAATTATGAGAACCTGATTTGGAAACAGCCTTGCATGCTTTTGAGCTTAATATTGAAGATGAAGACAAATCCAGTTCCAATCGATCATTCAACTAAAATTACTGATCCCGGAAAATGTGTATGTATTCAAATTCTCACCGGCTTCCTGTGCCCTTTGACAATTGCTAGACTAGATTTTCTCAGGTAATATTCTTTAAAACCTGTTAGTAGACATGTTTGGAATCGAGTCAACCACTTAGTTCGTAATTAGAATTTTCTGCCACCCTCAGACCAATGTGCGGCCCGCTAAAGTTGGCGTGAAAAAAAGCACGCGTACAATAGCAGTTGTTCAACGGAGATTAAAGCGAAAAGCGGCGTACGCACACAAAATTTAAAAGCAACAAAAATTTTAACAGGGCAAAGCAGCCCAAGCGTGAGCGTGGAAAATTTTTAAATTTTCTGCACGCTAGCCAGCGGTAAAAATAAATGCAACGGCAGTGGTAGATACGCATATAAGTCTAGTGTATTGTCTAGCCATAAAGATGGCGTGTTTTACCGCTTGGCCGAGGTGCGCAAGAATTTGTGCTTGCTGTACAGTAAACCGCTAAGTGACGACGCACAGTGGGCGTCCATATAACCGTACTAGAAATACGCTGAAATTTCGTATATGCGCTGTTCGGCACTTAGGAATGAAGAAATGTGGAAAATGGTAAAATTCAACGCGCTACCACGCCCACAGCTCTTCTGGGCGGAAATAGTACATGTTATCTGATTTTGATGAAATTCAGAGCATGTACTGGTTTTAACGAGAAAACCATAAATCTGAAAGATCATCCAAACCAGTTTACATTAACGTCCAGTAATTCTAGAAAAACAGGCGCAATTTAAAAAAAAAAAATATTTTTTGATGAAATTCGGTGTGCCCTGCCCGTTTCAGCCAGAATTTTCCAGCTTGAAAGATAATAAAGAATTTCTAATTACGGCGCCCACCTTTTTCACAACTTTTTTGACTCCAAGTACTAAATTTTATGAATTTTGGAGAAAATGAACAGTCACATTTATTTTATTTCTAATGAAGTCCTATTTCTTCATTTGAAAAATGACAAAAAGAAAAACATTAACAATACCTGCATACTAATTTATGTGCACGATATGTATTTACACTGAAGCTTTCAATATTACGTACATTTTACACCACAAAAGCTGAGCTAAGGCCGGCAGGACTCTTGCCATCGAAAACGGATCTCGTCCAGGGAAGCCCCATTTTTGGCTGAATGGCGAATGTGATTAACAGATTGCCGAGTCACTAATATCTACATCTTCTTCAATTTCCATTTTATACTGCATATTCCTTATTTTATGTACACTCTGGCTTCCCTTCAGCTCTACAATAAAGATTCAATAAATTTTACAGGAGGCGGGTCTATAAAAGGAAGAATAGAAACTGAACTCGCAGTTCCTCGCAGCTGGAACTATTTGAGATATGACACGCATATTTAATGTTTCTTGTCCTAAGTACAATTTAGCTCGCTTCCTTGGTCCTTTTTAAATATCCCTTTTCAAAGTAAACTATTTTATACAAATTTAAAGCAATGCTTGACCACAGACATATTCGAAAACTGCTCATCAATCAGATTGGCCTTTTATATATGCGCACAAGTGGAAAAATTAGTTCAAATTACTTGCGACTAAATCAAAATTTTTTCTTGCAAATTTATATTTTCGCATTGTTCCTACTTTAAGCTCGTGTCATGATTGTAAATATGCATTTTTATCAAGTATTCCTTTTGGTTTGGGTTAGCTGGATATTTTGCTATGTACTTGCGTAATTACCTTTTCAGAATTCGCTAACCCGTTTTTACTACTTTTGGTCGCTGTAGTCTCATTGTGCGACACCATCGCACAGTGGCGCCGAAATCCAAAAGTGCTGCCAAAATTCGAAGCTTTGAAATAATGATTTCTAAATTTCGTACTAGGAGGTTTTCGGGGTCACTAATTACTAATCCGCTGTCAGAAATGCAAATCGAGTATGGCGTCTGGTGAATTTCGAGCTTTTCAATTAGAAAGATTTTGAGTATGCAGTTTTATAGCCCATTCAGTTTTAGTGTAGTGTGAAATTTAATTAAAAAGCTGGACATTTTAACATATAGGCGAAACTGATTTGTATCAGCGTGTAAAAAAAAACAAAAAAATATAAGGAGAGAAATCAGCACCTGAGTTTTGTTTTATACTGTAGCTGATACTTTTCTACGTAAACTTCAATTGGCTTAAAGGCAGTCTCCGACAGCGTTTTGTTACTGTTACATTTAGCAACTCAAAATTTGTTTAAATTAAAAAAAAAATACCTTTACATTTTTATTTCTTAAAACTTTCTGTTACATTATTAGTTTCCACAAATTTTTTAATGTATTTTACTACCCTTCAGACGTAGAACCCATTTAGTTTTTTGATTTCCTATTCTCTAACTACTTTTATACGTTAATAACTTTTCGCTTTTTATTACAATAATATTGTGCTTGGGAGAAGGTCACACTACAGATGAATATAAAGAGGGGACTTGGGGCACAGGTCGTTAGAGTGAACAGTTTTCGCTTCTTAGGTGAGCTCTTTAGCCAACTCAATGTCAAAAAAGGCCTGTCTAGAAACTTTATTTTCTCGAATTATGGCCGCACATTTGGGATTCGGATTTGGGAAAATAGCGTTGGTTCCCAGCAGCGAAGCAGTAGTCAAGCGCAGCGGAGCGCTAGTTAAACAGAATATTTACAGTACGAATAATAAAGATCGGGTCACTATAATATATATCTCCCATTCAACTGATTGTTCAGTTATGAAGATTTTCGTTATAACTCCTCGATTTATGCAGCTAGGAACATGAAATTTTGCAATACTTCCAACTATTATCAACAGAATTCTTACAGTGAAAATAACAAAGATCGGGTCACTTTTACATATAGCTCCCATACAACTGATTGTTCAGATATGAGATTCTTTGTTATAACTTCTCCATATCTGCAGCTAGAAACATGATATTTCGCACTTTTTTCACTCATTATCAACAGATAGTTTACAGTGAAATTAACAAAGATCGAGTTGCCTCCATAAAACTGATTGTTCAGATATGGGATTTTAATGTAAAATAATTTATTTGGACAGCTAAAACCGATTAATTTCGTAAGCTATTGTATAAATAATAATACAAAGTCTACTGAGAAAATCTTCAAAATCTATGCTTATAAGCTTTATCTCTTATACCCCTGATTGTTCCTATATCATGTTTTGGAATATATCTCCTTAATGTAGGAAGCTAAACCCATTACATCGTGTTACCGGTTTACATACCGATCACACTGCAGTGAAAATCACTTAGATTGGTGCTATATGATATACCTTATATATCCATATTATATTCAATACCTCTAATTGTTTAGATAAGATTTTTTATATATGTAACTCCTCTATCTATGTGTGCTTTGAATATATAGTTTTTTCAAATACAGTAATCTGTTAAAGCAAAGATTTCAGATGTTCATGAAAGGTATAAAGCCTTCGGCATAGCCGAAGACGGCGCTGATTTTACTTGTTTTTATTTAATTACTCTTTTTGTAACATGTATGTAGTTAATCAATATCGTATAACAA